TAAGGGGATAGGTTAGCGCTAATAATATAATAGATAGGCAGCGGCCTGACAGAGGGTGACCCTCTAACCCTCTACAATAAAAATGTACAACAGAAGAAAAAGAAAAGCTGCGCCAAAAGGAATAAAATAATAAAAAATACACAACTAAAAAATATATATATATACATATATATAAAAAAATATATATTAACCCCTTCTGACCGGAGGACGTACAATTACGCCCTATTTTAGGCGGCTCTAAACGCCGCCGGGCGTAATTGTACGCCCTCCGGTTTTTGTTAACTTACCCGGTCGCCGGCGGTCCCACGCCGGCGATCGCGGTGGGGGGGACTCCCAGGGAGCCCCCCGCGACAGATCCTTCTCCTCCGGTGCTCCCCGGCCATGTGAGAGTGGGGTCCTAGCGAGGACCCCACAATCACATGGCCGGGTACGCTGCCTCCTGCATTGCCAGCAGGGGGGCTGCCTGTAATGACAGGTGGTCCCCCTGCTGGCTGGAAATAAAATTAAAATTATTTTATTGGTGTAATATATATGATCTAAGTATATATATACACATATACATACACACACGTACACCGTCTAGGTGTATTGTACTATTAATATATATATAATCATATATATATATTAATATCAAATTACACGTAGACTGATACTGATTAAATATATATATATATAATTATTGTTATATATATATTTATATATAATATAAAAAAATTAAATATGTAAATACGTTAAAAAATAAAATTAAAAAAATAATTAAAATATATAGATGTGTGTTATTTCGTTCTAACTGTATTGTGAAATTAATATATATATATATATATATATATCAAAATACATGTAGAACGAAATAATATATATATCTATATACATAAATATATACGTATATATCACTATATATATATATAGCTATATATAAATAAAAATATTTTAAAAAATTTATATAGATATATACATATATATACACATACGTATATATACATATATTAATTCTACATATTTATTTATGTAATATTTTTACATAATTAGGTATCTTAATTAATTACAATTAGCAGGACCTGCCTGACAACCCATGCCGAAAGTAAAGGGAATTTAATTTGCTAGCACTATATTTAACCCTATAACTTTCCGAGACACCATAAACCTGTACATGGGGGGTACTGTTCTACTCGGGAGACTTCGCTGAACACAAATATTAGTGTTTCAAAACAGTAAAATGTATTACAACGATGATATCGCCAGTAAAAGAGACATTTTTTAGATTTTTCATGCACAAACAGCACTTACACGGACGATATTATTGCTGCGATACTTTTTACTGTTTTGAAACACAAATATTTGTGTTCAGCGAAGTCTCCCGAGTACAACAGTACCCCTCATGTACAGGTTATATGGTGTTTTCAAAAGTTACAGAGTCAAATATAAGGTTTGCATTTCATTTTTTTCACATTAAAATTCGCCAGATTGGTTAGGTTGCCTTTGAGACCCTATGGTAGCCCAAGATTAAAAATTACCCCTATGATGGCATACCATTTGCAATAGTAGACAACCCAAGGTACTGCAAACGGGGTATGTCCAGTCTTTTTTAGTAGCCACTTAGTCACAAACACTGGCCAAAATTGGTGTTTTTTGCATTTTTAACACACAAACAAATACTAACGCTAACTTTGGCCAGTGTTTGTGACCAAATGGCTACTAAAAAAGACTGGACATACCCCATTTGCAATACCTTGCGTTGTCTACTATTGCAAATGGTATGCCATTATGGGTGTAAATTTCATTCCTGGGCTACTATACAGTCTCAAAGGCAACGTAACCAATCTGGCGAATTTCAATTTCAAATGTAACGTGCTATATTTGACCCTGTAACTTCCCAAAATGCCATAAAACCTGTACATAGGGGGTACTGTTTTACACGTGAGACTTTGCTGAATACAAATATGTGTATATTATTGCAGTAAAAGCAAACAGTATTATGACATTGACAGTTAAAATGTCATGTAGAACTAAAAAAATAACAAAATTTCTTATTTTCTACCATTTTTTTCATATTAAATTATGTTTCATAGCTAAATATTTGATATTAAATGAAAGCCCTGTTTCCCTGAATAAAATGATATATAATAAGGGTGGGTGCATTTACTATGAAAGAGGTGAATTACGGTTGGACAGACATGTAGCGCAAATGCCAGGTTTTGTTTACATTTTTTTGGTTCACAACGTGTACATTTGGCTCCGTCCTTAAGGGGTTAAAAATATAAATGTGTAAAAAACAGTCCCAATTAATATCAGAGATTGTATAGTCTTAGTCGCCGTTTCAGCTGGTAGAGTATCTTCTCTGTTAGTAGTGGATCGTCTCGTGATATAAAAGACACAAGGAGAAAGGACCAATCGTGTGGAGTGTATAAGATGAATATTAATAAGTTAAAATATAAACATTACACTCACATTTGAATGAGCTATGGCCAGCTCAGGTGTAACAGGCGTACAGCGGATTAATCCCCGCTTTTAGGATATATGGATACTTGTCAATTCTCAGGGAAAGAGAAATAAAAACAACCAATAGTGCTCTCTGATGACACGATGTAGAAGTAATAAAAAAATATATAAAATAAAATTGTGTAAGAGAATAATAACACAAAACTATTTCTTTTATTAAATATACAATATAATAAAACCAATAACGCGTTTCACCACTAGGGCTTTATTCCAATTTGATAAAGCCCTAGTGGTGAAACGCGTTATTGGTTTTATCATGTTGTATATTTTATTTTATTTGTGTTAACTTGATGAATAGAGTAAGATAACAACTGTTACAATGGATGTTTATTTATTTATAATCACGATGTGGATAACACCTTTCTATGGCTCAATCCATGTTGACACCGTAGTACTCATCAACCACGCAATTGCCATTTATGCTTGCCTTATATTTTCAGTGTGACAGAAATATCATATTCTACACCTTATAACTTATATACAATTCTTATTTAGGACATCAGATAATAAAAAGCCCCGGGTGCCAGATAACTTGGATATATTTTTATTCCGTGTATAAGATGCCAAGAATACCGTTCAGTCAATACCATGTCACTCTGTCATGCAATTCTCCAAAAATGAGCAAGTGGTTTAAATATACTTAATTCTATCAGAGACAGCCCACTAGTAACTTCTACTAGGTTGATTTCTTGTTTTGGCTATTTGCACCTGTATTTACATCACCAGGAATGTAATATAGTATATTTTAGGCAACTGCCTACTATGGGGGGTATCTCACAGCGATCTCATGTGAGCGTCATTCATTGACTGGATAGTGCCACCCCCGTATCACTGAACTCACCTACTCTGTACTTGTTATGGATACCGCCCACATCCCACATGGGGTTGGATCCATGACATTGTATACTGACACCTCCTACGTAGGCGTGTTGATGCTGATGAATGGACTAATGCAATGCAATAGGTAATGTTTATTAGACTACCCAATTAACATATAGCTATGGTAGTCCCATGTGGTGAAAGCCTATTTGTGTTCTCTTTGATTCTACTAAGCACACATCTCTGTGGAAGGTTTTGCTATACTCTGATTTAAGAGTATTGGATGAGACACTATTATGCACCACCCCCTGACTGGCTAATTTCAATCTAGTTAATGGGTTATAGGGTATTTAAACACACTCCCTGTTTCTGAAACAGATCACTTTGCCCCTGACGACGGCGTTGTGATACGCTAAAATGTATGTCGGGCTCTATTTTATTTTTATTATGCACTTTTTCCCTTGTTAGGTAGCACTTCACCGTGTTTTTGCGTTATCTTTATAGGGTCCTTGGTTTAGGTAGGCATTAGCCTAGTGCGGTGCAGAGGTGTTAGGTACAGACAGATATATATGTTCTTTATGGGGTATGGTGGGTATGGGTGGGTACCTAATATTGGTTTTTGCTTTGTTATTATATTTGCCCTGGGAGCTTCTGTGTTTCTCCTATACTCAGCTTTGCGTCTCAAATTGGTTGATATCCACTGAAGGAGCTGCTTACATATTATTTTGAGTGAGATGCAGATCACCCCTTGTGTTCCCTATCTACCCCTTATTAGTTTCTGCTTAGCAATAGGATATTCTGCTTAAGTGGCACACTTTATGTACTCCTTATCTATCTTATAGGGTTAATACCCTTTACCCGGCATACATACACTTGTTTCCTATTTAGGTCCCTCTGTTAGATATAGTAGCTATCTTTTGTAGTTTTAACAAAGGTTTTTTATTTATTTTTGCTTTTACTACTAATCTACATGAGGGTGTACTATTTCCCATATGCCCCCTCCACTGGAGTGGATGTCTGGGATCCTGTTCCTTTAATTTTCTATTTATAGTTGCTAGGTTTATCCCCCAAAATACCAGTACAACCAGGTGATCTTTGTTTAACTAGGGGATAGGGTTAGGTGTTTCCCCTAGTCTGTGTTGTTTTGGCTGATGGAGTATCATTTGACCTATCCAAGGGTTAATAATTTTCCAGCTGTTATGATCTCATCTATCCTCTACAGAGCAGACAGCTCCTGGAAGATCTGTGGCATCTCTATTTTTGTGAAGTCTATTTTCAGTTAAGTAGATTTCAGTCTTTCCAGAATTCTTAATTTATAAAAAGGCTCCAAAAAACTTAATTAATTCCTTAAATCATCACATGTGGACAAGAGAATAACAAAATATATACGGTATTTTGGATCAAATGTTGCATTTCTATGAGTTGGTCAGTTTTCGCTGTTTAGTAGATAACTCTCTTAAAGATCAGTATAATATTAAAGAGGTTATCTCAGAATACATTATTTTATCAGTTCAAGTCATGAGAACATTGCAATATATCTGTGTTGATCTTGACTTGCACTGACTCATGATACGTCTCGTGTCAGTTAGTCAACAGGATCCACTAACTGATAATGTTAATTAACAAAGTATATAGCAGCTTGCTGTTGACATTATCCTCATAGACCACCTTACGGATTCAGAATGGACTCCAGCTCTCACAAACGATATCATCTCCATGAATGGGAACCAACAGATATGTTTAATGCATATTATTCTAGAAAATCTGAAAAGTATATCACTGATGAGACTGTGAGATTTCCAATGGAACAGCTTTATAAGGTGGCAGGGCAAGGTATGTTCTGTTTAATACATTAATACATTTTAAAAAATATTACACATTTCTCATTTGTATTACATTTAATGTCTACCTAAAATCTACAGGGGACGTGTGCAGTAGACTTGTGCATTGCACGCCAAGAAAAGTTTAACCAGGTTAATTAAAATTAATACTGCCACAAAAACAATCAAACCATAAATCAAAGATCTGGATGAACCAAATTTAGATTGTACATTGATTCTGTTTGTCCAGATTTTTTTTGCAAATTAAATTACAACATTTTAAATTTCTCTATGCTGATGAAAATAAATACATTTCATTTAGTGAACAGGCTAATGAAATGCACAATGCAGTTATAAACAGAACAATGACAAAAATATTTTTAGGAACTAGAGAAAAAGACAAATCAGTAATAATTTCATATACAGCAATGTGCAATGTGTAAAGATTAGAAAATAACTCACCTAACATATAATCTGTATCTAGTCACATGTAATTACATGCATTATGTAAAGTATTCTTACAGAAAAAAATAAATAAATAGGGAGCATACCCTGAGACAATGGTATATGTGAAACATTATAGTCCTAATGCTTCTAAAATAAGTGTGTTTTTAGGATATAAAAAAAAAAAAGTTTGAAAATTGAGTGGTCTCAATTTTTCTCAAATTGAACAACCATAGGAAAGCCCTGCTGGCTAGCTTGGATGTGGAGTTGGCTAAGATCAAGAAAAAAAGTTCAAAAGTTATATGAAATATTTAATAGTAATTATTTTTGATATTCAAATATGTTTAATTTCAGCTCTTTCAATTAAATCTAAGTGAAAAACAAATTAAAAGTATTTTGGAGAAGTTTTTACCTTTGTTTATGGTTTTATTTTTGGACTTTTTCACTGCAGGTGAAATTACTGGTGACTATTTGATTGATATATCTGGTGGCTGTAACATTCACCATCTATTGCCTATTTTTGAATTTTTCAGAGACATCACTATTTTAGAATTTAGTGATCTCTGTGTAAAGGAACTAGTGAAATGGAAGCATAGGGAGTCGGAAAGCTATGACTGGACTCATGTCTTATCGATTATGGCAGAATTGCAAGGCTCAAGGTAAGGATCAGAAATAGAAAAATCAAAAAGAATAGGGCGCGTCTTGATAAAAAGTACATAAAATATAACAAAAAATGTACGGTAAAAATTAGAATAAAAAGAGTCCAGATATTTTAGTCCACAGAATGTTCTTGTAACGTGATGTGCTATCGTCCCAGATGATGATTTTCAGTATTTTTAGTGGGTGATATGTGAAGAAATAAAAGGAACAGCCAATGGTACAGTATGTCTGTATAGGTGGGTATATATTAAAAAATAAATAGAATTACTCACAATTTCCAGAGCTTAAATCCCGCTCTGGTATGAAGTGCGTGAAGTGGAATGATCCCCACTCAATGATATATGGAGCTCTTTCTTGAGGGTTTGATGATCCACCAAGGAGGATTTTATTGCCACATTCCTGTTTTTATTATAATTTTTATCTTTATACCTGACTTAACTGAACCATCAGGAATCTAAAGAAAATCCTTAGGTGGGGATTATACCACCCATATGCCTAAGATTGTACTAATATACTTATCCAGTAGAAGAAGAAGAATGTTACACTGTATACAATTTTAAATAAAAATTATACAAACATAGCCAGGATTCAGTTGTAAGCATTTGCAACACTTACAACAATCAAGTAACACACATTCATATGAAATGTAAGATACTTGGCCAGTCAATGTATTGACAGGAATGAATAAGTAGATGACTCCCTAATTCCCACGGTATTAGAGAGCTATCTACTAAAAGGCTGAAAGACCTGAATTGGTCTTATAGACAAATTTACTAATACTAAGTAAAGATTACTTAGTATTAGTAAATTATGCCCCTACTCGCTATTACGCGAGTAGGGGCATGTCTATTAAACAGTGACCTAATGTCCTCTAGCTAAGTACCTGTAAAAATAAAATAAAACTTACCATTTGATGTTTTCTTTCTTCTAAAATCTTATTTTTTCAGCCCCCAAAAAAGCCAAATAAAAATCCATAATAACCGACGCACTTAAAAAAAAAAAAAAAACAAGCACAAAAAAAAAAAATCCATCTTCACCCATGGAGGGCTCCACGCAGACTGAGCTCTGCAGGGCGGGGGAAGGCTTATAAAGTGTGTCGGTTATTATGGATTTTTATTTGCCCTGTTTTGGGCTGAAAAAATACGATTTTAGAAGAAAAAAAACATCAAATGGTAAGTTTTGTTTTATTTTTACAGGTACTTAGTTAAAGGTCCCCCCCCTCATTATTTTTAGGGTGAAGGGGGTAGGTAGGTAATTTTTGGGGGGAGGGGGTGACTAGGGGTTTGGGCACTCAGGGGTGGGGGCCAGGGGTGAGGACAATAGGTCCCCCTCTATTGGTATTTAGGGCCCCTACCCACCTCTCAGGGGTGGGGCCAGGGTGGAGGACATTAGATCCCCCCCCTTATTCTAATTACATTTTTGGGGGGGAGGGGAGACTAGGGGTTTGGGGACCCCTAGTCATCTGGGTGAGGGGTTACATTTTTATTTAGGGCCCCCACCTGCCGCTCAGGGGTGTGGGCCAGGGGTGAGGACAATAGGTCCCCCCCAATTGCTTTTTAGGGCCCCCACCCAACACTCAGGGGTGGGGGCCAGAGGGTAGGACATTAGGTCCCCCCCTAATTGGTATTTAGGGCCCCCATCCACCGCTCAGGGGTGGGGGCCAAGGGGGAGGACATTAGGTCCCCCCAATTTTTATTTAGGGCCCCCCACCCATTAGGTCCCCTCTCTTATTCTAATTTAGGGTCCCAACCAACCGCTCAGGGGTGGGGGCCAGGGAGGAGGACATTAGGTCCCCCCAATTGCTATTTAGGGCCCCCACCCACCGCTCAGGGGTGAGGGCCAGGGGGAGGACATTAGGTCCCCCCTAATTGGTATTTAGGGCCCCCACCCACCGCTCATGGGTGGGGGCCGGGG